TGTGTCCGGGGTGGGGGTCGGGACCCTTTAAGCACAGCCCTCGGCTAGCCTGAGACACCATCTCCATGCTCTAAGTCCTCCTCTTATGCCCTGCCGGCACTGCTTCCGGCCATCCTTAAGCCCTGTTCAGAGTCCACTCAATGTGGACTTGCTAGTTCGAATTAGCAAAACGCTAATTCGAACTAGTTTTTAGTTCTAGACACGTTAGTTCGAATTAACTAATTCGAACTAAGTTAGTTCGAACTAACTTTGTAGTGTAGACGTACCCTGAGAGACATCATTCTGTGAACCATACTTATTATTTCTTGTCCTCAGATGCTCTGGTGATGGATGTCTTAGGTATATATAGAGAAAATGTAATTAAAGCCACTGATCTTCCACCTTCGCTTGTTTGTTTTTTCCATGCCACAATATGATGTCTACACCATGCTGTAGAGAGCAGAATGAGGCCCATTAGTCTTCCTTTTAAACTTTTTACATACTTCAATTTATAGATGCAAGTCTATAAACATGACACTTCCATAAGAATATAATGTTAACTTATTTGTATTGTGTATCCATATTAATATGATATTGGACTTACATCAGAGAAGGACCTGTAAACATATCTTTACATGTGATAAGCTAAATTATTTTACTGTCCATTACTGTATCCTTCTGTCTTGATTTTTTTAGTACTATAGGAGCACTGTGGATTAATGTCTTTTTCTTCTTGCAGGCAGAATTACTAGATGCTGCAGCAGGTGTTTATATCCGATTCAGACTAGGTGGTGTAAGTAGAGTTTTAAAGAATATTGAAATATTTATATTCATTCCATATCTAGGTATTCACAACTTAATGGACTCGTTAACTGTATTTTAACAAATTACTGTAGCAAGATCAGTATTTTTTAGCTAGGGTGTCTGAAATTAGCCTCCTATATACATTCTTAAACACCTGATTAAATGGTCTGAATTTTCCATTGGATTTGTGGGTGGTCTCATTGCTTTGGACTTGTTAACCAAGGGTGCAGTCTTGGCCTTATTGAGGTTAATGGAAGTTTTTCCTATTGATTTCAATGAGTCAGGATTTCATTCCAAGACTTAATAGACAAAATATGGATTTAATGTGAAAATTTTGATCCAAGTGTCTGTTTAGATTTTGACCTTATGTATTTGCCTATTCATATTATAGTTATGTACAGTCACTCTGAAATAGCAAAAGCCCCATGTAAGATTCTTCTGCTTTCAAAATATCCACTGTACAGGAAAATAAAATCTATTGCTATAGCATTTGGAATAGTTGGAAAGAAGCTGATTTATTGCTAATATTCTACCCTAGAAATTTCTAGTAAATTGTGTTTGGCAGACTTCTACCCTGTAATTAATTTGGTTTCAGCTCCTGACCTATGCTTCCCTGACTAGTACCAACTTATGGATAATATATCATTAGTAAATCTTACCTTGATGACATATGGTATTAATAAAACATCAGAGCAACAGTTTGCCCTCTGGTGGAAAGCACAGTGTAGAGATTAATATGTTGAGCTGAAATATTACTTATAAGATCGTCCACTTCAGTGAAAGTAAGCGTGGAGCTGGACGAAGATTTTAGATTGGTATTACAGAGCCAATTTTTTTTTTACTTACTTTTTTTTTTTTACTTACTACGCATTGGCACCTTGACATTTTCAAGTGTGATATTTCTTTACAGACCAAATATCCTCCAAGTATATATTACAAAATATTCACTCATAGACCCATTGTGGATATGTGTGCTAACAGTCCTAAAGATTATACAAAGTCAAAACATAAACAGCTATTGCCAGAGGCTGTTCATGGAAAGATTTGGAAGGATGACCGTCGTGGCTGGTACAAGCGTGTGGAGAACAATGGTTGGAGACTTCTTTCTATCAGAGTGAGCAAAGAATACAGTTTACATTTTTCTTTAAAATGTTAACTTTTTTCTTACATAACCTGCACATTATTTAATTTCACTCACTATATGGATCATTTCCTTAAGTGAGAGATCTTAATTTCCATTTGAAATAATGACCTATATAGTAATCTGTGAGATATCATAATAATATCATAATCATGTATTTATAACATGTTCCTCATCAGCCAGGTCACTGAACAACATAATAAATATAATATGATTAAATTACCATAAATACTGTACTATAAGATCTTGTACTGGGTAAGAAATAAAACTGTTTATTAAAGTACAATATAATACTTAAATATTAAAATATAATTTCATACTTTTCTATATTAAGGTACAATTTTGTTTGGATTAAAAATCTGCAAGAGGAGTCGATGTATTTTTCTCTTATACAATGAAATATAAATATAAAACATACTGAAACTGTGTTAAAATTAAGCCCTGTAAAAATTTGTGTTTTGTTAAATTTTCATCATATCCTCAATCTTCTATGCCCTTTATTTATGTCCTAATCATTCCTTCCTATTCTTATCATATGGCCAGCCTCTCCCAAATGCAGCAACATCCAAATGCTTATTCTTTCCAGATGACTCTTCCAAGCAGGCATTTTGACGGGGTTGTGAAGACAGTCTTCTCATTTCCATCTATTCTTCCTTTTTATTTACCAGTCACTTCTACCACTTCCTAAGTGCCTGGACCCATGTAAAGTCAGACCACTGAGTTTTAAGCATGGTCGATTGAGGGTATGCCATACAATTTATTTCAGGCCCTCACCCCCTTCCCACGCCTCTTCAGGGAGCACTCTCATGAGGTTCAATCTCTTCTTGAGACAGGAGCCATAAGGGAAGTACTGTTGGGTCTCAGAGGACAAGGCTTTTATTCCCATTATTTTCCAATCCCCATGTCAAAGGAGGCCTTAGGCCTATCTTAGATATAAGAGAGCTAAACAAATTAGTGAAGAAAATACAATTCTGCATTGTTACCTCAGTGATAATGATCTCTTTCCTGTAATAAGGAGACTGGTATTATGCTCTTGACTTGTGGGATGCTTATTTCCATATCACAGTATATCCCGACCAATTAAAGATTCTCAGGTTTATGGTGAATGTTTGGCAATATAAATTCACAGGACATCCATTTCAGCCTGACAGCTACTCCTCAGGTGTTCACAAAGTATATGACAGTGGTAACAGATTATCTTCAAAAAAAAATTAGGTGTCCATATGTTTTCATGCCTGGATGATTGGTTGATCAGAGATCCATCAGTATCTCGGGTCCTCTCCAGTATGTCCTCTGCTCTATCTATATTCAGTGCTGTTGAGCTCTTAGGAAGTCAACAAGAATCAGTACCCAGGCCTGTACATATAATAGAATTCATTGAAGCAGTCCTCAACTCCACAAATCAAGTTTGAACCATTCTGAACATAATACTTCAAAGGAAAGTTTACCTGTTCACAGCAACATGCAAGTACCTCAGCCTGTTGCAGTACATCTAGCCTGCTCAACCTTCCTCCCCTATATGCTGGAGAAAAAAATCTGTTGATTATGACAGACAACTCAGTGATCATATTCTACATAAACTATCAAAGAGGGTCATCCTCAACCTAGCTCAGCCAGAAGGCAGTTCACCTCTGGGCCTTCTGTACAACCTGTTACTCTTCCTCAGACCTGCTGAGGAACAAACCCCGACAAAGAGTGGGCTGGAACAGTATTGTTTTTAAGGTTGTTTATTGGTACAGATTCTTAAGAGTAAAGTGATACTCACACACATACATCACATTCTTCTTCGAGGAGTCCCCGTGGGTGCTCCACTGAAGGAGCTGGGCTTGCCCCAGCACCGCAGAAATGGAGATCTTTTGCTGTAGCAGTACCCGGCCAGACCGCGCATGCACGGTGGCGTCTCACAGCGTTCGCACCACTCTGAGTGCATGCGCGGTCCAGCTCCCGCCTGTTCCTCTCGACCGCCTCAGGCTGCAGACAGAACAACTGCCTCTCCAATTCTACTCTTTTGTGTGAGATCCCCAACATCTTTTCCTATCCACAGTTTTGAGATTCCCTGTTTATCTATTCCTTGTGCGTCACTTGTCTCCTAGTTTAAAAAAAAAAAAATTCTTTACCTCACAGTTTGTTCCCCTTTCATCGCGTACCCGTTCTTTTTATCACGGCCCTTCTTCATTGTACATAGTTATCCCATAGTTACTAGTTAGTCCATTCTTCATTCTTTAAAAAAAAACAAAAACCAACAAACAATTTTTTTCTGGTTAACTGTTACCCCAGACTACAAACATGCCATTGTCACCGGGGTTTAAAAAGTGTGACTCATGCCGGGAGGCGATGCTGGCATCTGACGGGCACTCATCTTGTATCCGCTGCCTTGGGGAAGCCCACGTCCCTCAAAAATGCCCGCATTGATCTAAATTGACAGCAAGGGCCAGACGGGACAGGGAGATGAGGCCGCGCATGCCACTATTTGATAAAGCTCTCCAGCCGCCGCGCTCGGAGGCAGCCGCCGAACACCAGTCACACAAACGCAGGGCTTCTTCACCTACCACCACTCCTCCTAAAAAATTGAAAGCATCCCCGACAAGATCCTTGTCTAATATTCCACACCCCAGGATCAGCATAGGGAATAAGCCGGGTACTTCAGGCATTGAGAAATCATGGCCAAAAACCTCTACCACGTTAAAAATAAAGACGACGACTCAAGCGGCACCGTCAGTGGAACCAAGAGTATCATTGGCACCACCTCCAGACTCGACTGTGATGTTCCTTGGGAGATCCCTTTGGATCTGCAATAGGCTTCGCTGTCTGTAGGCTAGTACCAGGTTTCTGTTGTGATGTTACATTTTGTTGGAGAGAGATTTTCTGGCTGATTCACAGTTAATTTATGTGCTTGTAGGGTCTTTGCCTTAAAAGGTCACAGTTTGTAAAATGCCTTTGATTGGGCATTTCTCATTCACACCTCACACACATTCCACAGGTTACATTCATATTCATAAGCAATATAGTTTCTAGGTAAAATTCAGTTTTATGGCCTTAAGTAACTAGAATCTTACCATAAATTGGATTACTTGACATACTAAAAGGACCTTATGTAAATAATATGGGTTAACATACCAAAGGCATGATACAGAGCTTAACATAAATTGTATTTCAGAGAGGTAGGATCAAGGGAAAAGGGGAAAGCAAAGGAGTATGTCCAGTCAGCTAGATGCCAGTGGAAAGGTGGGGGTGGGGTCGTGTCCGACTGGTTATCTAACCAATTAGATTCACCTCAAATCTGCTTCCCTTCCAGAGAAGCAAAACACATTGATTCTTCAGCTGAGCAGATATGTCACTAGTCAACACAAGTGGAATTGACATTTGCAGTCACTCAAAGAAGAAATAGTTGCCTACCTTTCCATAACTTGTTCTTTGAAATGTGTGGCAGATGTCTATCCCATGACCCATCCTCCTTCACCTTGGTAGCAGAGTACATCCAGTATGAAGGAAATGAGGGAGGTTCTTATATCAGCATGCAGTGATGTACAGCCATAAAGGGGGGCTTGATCTACACCAGTGGGTACCATCGAGGGAAAAAAATCGCAGACATTTGTGCATGAGTTATGGACATACCTACAGTGGCAAGGACATATGCAACACATTTTGAAGAACAATAGTTATGGAAAGGTGGGTAACTCTTTTCTTCCATTATAATGAGATGTATACATAGTGACACTTTCATTCAAAGATCTGCAAGTACTTTACGAAAGTGGGAAGATGTTACCATCTCTATTTTACAAATGAGGAAACCAAGGGGTAAAAAAGTTAAGTGGCTTCCAGAGGGCTCTGAAGGTCAGTGGCAATGGAGGGAAATAGGAATTGGACTTCTGATTTATGATCTCTTATTCTGGGCATAAAACCATGCTACTTCAGCAGGGGAGGAGATGGGCAGAGTTAAACCCTAGTGGGCCACTGCTGTAGTGTTTACCTGTGCCTCCACAGGTATGGGCACTTGCAGCTCCTGTTGGCCATGAATTGCTGTTCTCAGCCAATGGGAGCTGCAGGAAGTGATGTCCCAATCTGCAGCCAACAGGAGTTGACAATCCGCAGCCAACAGGAGTTGCAAGCACACATACCTGTGGATGTACAGGTAAATACAATGGCAGCGGCCCACCAGGCGCTAACCCTGGCAAACTGTCACCATCTTATCGCCCATGCTTGTGCTACTTACTCATGTACCCTTATGCCTATTCCTTTAAGACTATCAAGTGGAAGCTTTTGAGTAACAGTTCTAGAATTTCTCAGAGAAACCTAATAGGAGTTTGATCATTATTTGTGTGATTATCACATTACTTCTCATTACAATATCCATGAGATTTTTCTCTCTACTACATTGAACAGATCAACAGTAATTAAAGAACTAGCATTCTTTTTATGCAGAAATTCACAAAGGCAAAGAGCAATTACTATTGAATCAATGTTTGCAAGAGAAAATATACACCTAACACATTTAGCCTTGTGTCATTCATGAGACAAACATGATAAGGTATCTTATGCTGAACAGGGGTAAATCTTTAATTATTCTCAATAGAAAGAAACAATCATGTGGCTTAGAAATGAGAAAATATGGCCAGAGGTGTAGTGGGAAAGAAATTCAGTATTTTTTTTAATGAAAGTAATCCAAATAATACATTGCACATTTGTCAGGTTTGGAGGACCATAGATTCTGTAACTGCTGAGGACAATACAAAAGAAAAGGAATTCCATTATTCTAAACTGAAGAGGAAAAAAGACATTGACAGGAGAAGAAAAAGGAGAAAGATTGAATGGATGACAAAAATGTGAGTTGCTGCAATTTTCAGACTTATGCTTCTGTGCACAATTAGTGTAGGATTTTTGTCATGGTTCTTTTCAGTAATCATTGGCTTTCATGGCTAATTAAATTATCTTATTTAGCATCTAAACCATGTTAAGTAGGTAGGAAGGCATCCTCTCTAATGCTAATGCAAAAGAAGAAAAGATGTGACCTCTGTCACCAAGCGGGAATACTACTGCGTGTCATTTAACTGGACAGCCATTTAATTTGAGAGATTACTAGAAAATTAATTTATTAGAAAAAATATAGCATGGGTTTTTAAATGGTAATACATTCACAGGTTCAAAGAGACAGAGAAACTTCTGTGATCAACTCCACTAGCTTGACTTCCTGCATAACAAAAGCCATAGAATTTATATAAGCCCTAATATTTTTTTTTGAAAGAATAACAATCTTGTGCTGAACATTACCAGTTCATAATATGTTGGCTTAACACAGAGTCATCAGAATTAAGCTCACATACGTATATAATGTAATGCAATACCCATCTCATCACATCTAACATAGTGCTTTTGAGGTTAACATGACTCCACTTTCACCAGAATTTCAGCAGCACAACACAACGAGCTGCTGTAATGGGAATATTAAAATGAGCCTGCTGTAGCACTTCCAGTTCCTCTTACTCCAAAGCGGTTGATCCCAAATTACAATCTATGAAGCTCAAGTTTATTTCTGTGTGTCATTGGGTCACAATGAGTATTTAAAAAAATAATGGGCTAAATCCTTCATTTCTTATTCAAGCAAAACTTTTCTAGGAGAGACAAGGTGGGGGAGGTAATATCTTTTATGGGAAGAACTTCTGTTGGTAAGACCAGCTTTTGAGTTTACACAGAGCTTTTCTTTGAGTCTTTTGAAGTTAATGGAAACTTGCCAAAGAAAGGAATGAGCCTACAGAGATGGAAGAGAGAAATAAAGCTCTATTTCTGAAAATTGTTGAAGTTCATCTTTTGTTCCATTCTGACCTGATATACAGTACAAATGGTTTTCTGATAAATAAAAGGCAAAGGGACATGCAACTATCTTTGTAATATAACTTTAACAATTACTTCAATTAATAAATATCATATCATATCATATCATATCATATCATATCATATCATATAATTAATATTACTCACTACTAACAGTTTACAAATCATTTCAAAGTGTTATGCCCAAAGAATGTCAATAAGCCTAAAAAAGCTGGATTTTGTTGTGATGTTTAACAATGTTTTCTTTAACAAAAAATATCAGCTTTTCTTTGCGATTTCTTTCTCCGTACTGGGAGATGTAATTACTGGGAGATGGGACAGGCATGGTGGATGATGTATTCTTTTGAGAGGAAGCATAAGGGGCAAGTCCATCCATGTGTGTTCTTCCAAGAATCCTCCTTCCTATACAATCATATCAAGAGAAGAACTATGAATATACAGTAAAAATGGAATACTCAGATTTTCAACTCGTAACCATAGTCCTGACATCATTGTCATCATTTCATTAGGAGGGCGGTGAAGGACTGGAATGGGTTGTGTAGGGAGGTGGTAGAATCTCCATCCTTAGAGGTTTTTAAGGTGAGGCTTGACAAAGCCCTGGCTGGAATAATTTAGGCCAGGTCTATACTAGGAAGCAAAGTCAAACTAAGATACACAACTCTAGCTATATGAATAGTGGAGCTGGAGTCATTGTATCTTAGTTTAACTTCCTGCAGCATACCCACTATGAAGGGTCAATGGGAGAGTTTCTACCATCAACTTCCCTTATTCCTTGTGACCTGGTTGAGTACCAGAGTTTACAGGAGAGCGATCAGAGATCAATTTAATTCATCCTTACTAAACTCGTTAAATCAACCCCTGAGAAATCAATCTCTGCAGTGCTGATCTCCCGGTAAGTGTAGACAAAGCCTTAGTTGGGGTTGGTCCTGCTTTGAGCAAGGGGTTGAACTAGACCTCCTGAGGTCTCTTCCAACCCTAATCTTCTGTGATTCTGTGATTAATGTATGGCGTTAAGACAAGTGCTTTAAAATGTTAGGGAAGTATTTATAAAAGTAACTTCTCCTAAGAGATAGGTCAGTTTTTGACCCTCTTGTATCTGGATAAGGATGTTAAAATGCAGTTAACTGACTACTCGACTAGTCAATGGAATTTCCATCGACTAGTCAAATAGTCGATAGGCACTTCCACATTCCCACTCACTGTCCCCCGCTAGCCCCTGGCTCCATGCTATGCTACATGCCACTGGGAGCCCGGGGTCAGCTGAGGACTCCCCAGCTGACCCCAGGTTCCGGGAAAGTGCCGCACGGAGCCTGAGATCAGCTGGGGGAGTCCCCAGCTAACCCTGGGCTCCACTGCCCCTTTGAAACACTGCCTTTGCGTATTTCAAAGGGGCAGTGGAGCCTGGGGTCAGTTGGGGACTCCCCAGCTGATCCCAGGCTCTTCATGTCATTTCACCAGCTGATCCCAGGTTCTGGGGAAATGCCACAGGGAGCCCAGGGTCAGCTGAGGAATCCCACAGCAGCTGCCCCTTTGAAATGCTGCCTTGGGTGGTAGCAGTGACAGCTGCCACTTTGAAGTACCCCTTCCCCCCCTTTGCTGCCACTTTCTTATAGATGCAGCGGGGGGAGGGAGCGGATTGACTAGTCAACTAGTCAAAAGACTATCTGATAAGCAAATCCTTATTGGATAGTCAACTAGTCTTTAACATCCCTATACCCAAAAATGTCATCTTTGTGAACCTTTCGTTTCAGTTGTATATCCAATGTACAAATTGTTGTGTATGGTGTGGTGGACTGTTTAAAAGCCCCAGAAGTCACTCTCTCTCTCAGAGTGGAGGAGGGTATGCCTATATAACTGTTATATATTTTATAAAATGTCTGAAGATAAGTCTAATATATTTGATATTAAAATTAAAAAAGAAAAAATAGAATCTATATTTAAATTG